TTGGCTTCACCGAACCTCACCCCGTTGTCAAGTATAACCTTCAGGAGTCCCTTTCAGAAGTTGGGGCTTTGAGATTCGTCACATGGTGCGATTTCGTGGAGCTTTCGGTGATATGGAGCTTTCGGTGATAAACCACGTTATAAGAGAGTAGCGTTAACTATAACTTACCTAAAGGCCTGTAAGAGTATATGATAAGCGAGCGGCGCGGACAAGCGAGCGGCGCTCTGGTAAGAGCTGCATTGACATTTAGCTGTACGTAGCACTAACAGGTCATTTCCGCCTTAACCCCGCTGTTAGTGCTACAACTAAAACGTCTATACAGCTCTTACCAGTGCGCCGCTCGCTTGTCCGCGCCGCTCGCTTATCATATACGTTAATATCTTTGTGTAACCAAGTTATCTTAATCATCACATTTCCCCCTCTGACTCTGCTAGCGTAAGAAGGGTTAGGGTTGGAAGGCTCTCTCGCCGTCGCACATCAACCTCGAGTTCTTTCCAAAATGGCATTTGCATCCTAATTCCACGACTGGCATTCCCATCTCCCTCTTCTCCAATGCGGGAAATCTCTGCACCATGAGTTACCCACAAAGCTTTGCCCAAGAGTTTCTTAGGCGATTAGAGGCCGCGCCCTCCTCCCGTGACGACATTCCACGGTACAAAACCCATTACGTGTCGGAACGGCAGCTGCTCGTCACAAGCAGCCAACCGGCAGGCTTCCAGCTAGGCACAGGCGCTTCCATCTTCACAGGCAGTCTAATTCCCGCCATCGTCTCGGCTCAGCACGAGGTCATCTTCGTCACCTGCTTCTGGGCGCCATCCAAGGCCCTGAAGGCTCTTTGCGACGCGCTCTCAAAGCTTGCAGCACATCGCCTGGCGGCAATAAAAGAGGGACGCGACTTGCGCAGAGGAGCAAATGCCATCCCACCCTTGGAAGTCCGCATCTGTCTGTCTTCGCGATCTCTGCTTCAGAAACTACTGCACCCTCAATCGCGCGATGGTTACACGTACCCACCGTCGTCATGGCCAGAGAAACTCGGCCTGCCCGACGCGGCTCTTCTCGGGGCTGCAGGAATCCATGTTCGAGTCAAGAGCCTCTTCTTCCTTCCCTTCAGCGTGATGCACCCCAAGTTTGTCATAATCGACAGGCAACGTGCATTCCTGCCGAGCTGCAACGTCAGTTGGGAGTCGTGGCTTGAGGGCTGTGTCGAGATTACCGGAGAGGCTGTCGAGGCGCTGCTGTCGTTCTACTCGCGCACTTGGGATCAAGCGCACCCGTCCCGCCAGCTCCTCCATGATCGTGGGTCGGTCTTCGACATGGACGGAGCAAGCCTTGTGTCGGCTTCAAGCAGGGCTGACTGTCGCGTCGAATTCCAGCCCGGGGGCACGCTTCCGACACTTGTTCTTCCTTCCTCTTGCCACCGCAACCCGCGCTTCCGTCCATTTCCATGGCAAAAGGCTCCGACACCGCCTCGCACGCCTCTCAACATTGCGCTGCTCCAAGTCTTCGAGCAAGCGCGCGAGTCCATCTACATACAGACACCCAACCTCACATGCGAGCCCGTCATCGCGGCACTGCTGGATTCTCTGGCTAGAGGCGTCGACGTTGTTATCGTCACTAACCGCAACATGATGTTACTCGAGCAACTCGTCACGGCGGGCACCACCACGTCCTGGTCCATTCGATCCCTCCTCCGACGATTCCGTCGGCTCAAGGAGACTGCGGGCACGGGGGCTGCGCATCGGGATCTCGAGGCGGGTCGTCCAGCTCTCGGACATCTCCGGATCTCATACTTCCATGCTAGGTCGTCTCAGGCAGACTCTGTTTCACACACTCGAGAGGGGCGACCTCTGATGTCGGTCGCGTCCCAGGAGGCGGAAGAGCCTGTGCACTCGCACCTTAAGCTGACACTTGTCGATGGAGAGTATGCGATGCTCGGGTCAGGGAATATGGACCGGCCGAGTTGGTTCACCAGCCAAGAGCTTGGTATCCTGTTCCACAGTCACGACTTCTGTACGGGGGTTAGGGCCGCGGTGGATGGCGTCCTAGAGGAAAGACTCGAGCTGGTTTTTGACTCAAATGATAGTAGGTGAAGTTCGGCGTGGCAGTTTACAATCCAGTCCGGTTACTAGTCGCTGTTAGCCGCGGCACTTCTGTCACGCCTTGAACACCAGCTCTATATCCCCAAACCAACGACGATGCCGCTTCGTCACCTCCTCTGCCTGTCCAGCCCTTCAGGTGGTCTAGCCCCAACGCTCGTCGCTCTGCCCCGACGTCCCCCCGGCCAGTCATCCGCGCCTCAATAGGAAGAAGGGGAATGTCAAATCTGGGGTTGGAGCCATGGGCGTGACTTTACTTCATGTTTCCTGGTTGACATTTCAGATCTCCTGGCCAGGAGAAGGATCATCGACGAGCCAGAGCGGGTGGTGGAGTGGCACGCGATAGGAGAAGACGGATGCGTGCTACCAATCCGTGGTCAAGCGACAAGTCTTTTCTATTGCCATATTCGTCGCCTGGGAGTTTGCTCGAATAGTGCAGTGTTGTGGACGATGGTGAGAGAATTAGAGCGATGCAGCCGAGCGGTTGAAACCACTGCTCATCAACCCTCTCAAAAAGCGACGCAGTGAGAGCCGGGGCGGAATCAAGAACCGGGTCAAAGAAAGTGCTCGAGGGTTGCGTCGCATAAACGCAATATCTGCACTTACCCACCAACCAGGTTCCTTCAAAGGGCATAGTGATGGAACCTGGTTGCTGTCGGCATCCTTAATTAACGCTGGGCCGACCCAATCTCGGAAGCCATGTTCCTGAATCTACATAAATGGAAGAGCGCGGCTCTGCCTGCGGGGCCGAAGGCGAGGACAGGGGTGCGACCCTGGTCGGGCTCTGCCGAGTCTGGGCGGAAGAGATGGGCGTTGTTCCGGAACATCGTTGCATTCTTCGGGCTTGCTGTGGCCGCACGGGGATGCTGGCTGGCGGTGCCGAAACTCCAAGAATTCCCATGCTCATGTGTTCCCCGGCCAGCACCGTCCGGATTCCGAAAGGAGAAGAAACAGCTCCGCTTCCCCACGTCCGCAGGGCTTCTTCTCGCCCAGGATATGGCAGCCTTCTCCCCCACGAAAACCCCTCGGTGGCTAAGGCAGAACTCCCCTCTGGGGCGCATGGCCCGTCCGCGGGCGTAGGGCTTCTTCCTGTGGCGTTGACGGATCGTCCTTCCTTTGCCCCCTTGGCCTTCGCTTCGACTGTTGCCGAGCATGGAAGGTTGGCTCGGGCATACCGCCCAGAAGCTGGTGATGCTCCATCGGTGCTGAACCGTCCGGCACACACTCCCGTTCATCCGCTTGTTCCGCTACTCGGTTGTACGCGAAGGTGAGCGGATTGTCTGAGCCATAAAGGCGGCTCGCCCTCCTGTCCTGGTCTTCCTCCCTTCTCCAGTGTCAGCATCAAACGCCTCGAGACGAGACAGCTTTATTGCTCTGTCTGACATCCGCAATGGCCGCGAAGCTCCTTCTCACCGCCGCCCTCGCGGCCACTGCCCTGGCTGCTCCCATGGTTGAGGAGCGCCAGAACTGCGGTGGCGTCTGGTAGGTGTCCCAACCAAGCTCCAACCACGAGGCGTTTTACTTACACCGTCATCAATAGGTCCCAGTGTGGTGGCAATGGCTGGCAAGGCCCGACTTGCTGCGCCTCTGGAAGCACCTGCGTTGCCCAACACGCGTGGTACTCTCAGTGCTTGCCCAACAGCCAAGTGACCACTGCTCGCACCACCACTACGACGTCCTCGTCCTCGTCCACCAGGTCGACCAGCAGCAGCAGCGTCCGCTCCACCAGCTCCCTCAGCACCACCGGCTCTAGCTCCACCACGTCCACGCCGGCGACGACTACGACAGCCCCCCCCGTCACGTCAAGCATTCCCGGCGGTGCTTCGTCCACTGCCAGCTACTCCGGTAACCCCTTCTCGGGCGTGCGGCTGTGGGCCAACAACTACTACCGCTCCGAGGTGCACACCCTCGCCATTCCCAGCTTGACCGGTTCGCTGGTTGCCAAGGCATCTGCCGTGGCCGAGGTCCCCAGCTTCCAGTGGATGGACCGCAACGTCACCATCGACACGCTGATGCTCAAGACGCTGGCCGAGATCCGGGCCGCCAACCAGGCTGGTGCGAACCCGCCGTATGCTGCTCAGCTGGTGGTGTACGATCTTCCCGACCGTGACTGCGCTGCCGCCGCCTCCAACGGCGAGTGGTCGATCGCCAACAACGGCGCCAATAACTACAAGTCGTACATCAACGCCATCCGCAAGCACCTTATCGACTACTCGGACATTCGCACCATCCTCGTCATCGAGCCGGATTCGAATGCCAACATGGTCACTAACATGGGCGTCGCCAAGTGCAGCGGCGCCGCGTCGACTTACAGGGAGTTGACCGTCTATGCCTTGAAGCAGCTGAACCTGCCGCACGTCGCCATGTACATGGACGCCGGCCACGCTGGCTGGCTCGGCTGGCCGGCCAACATCCAGCCCGCTGCCACTCTGTTTGCTGGAATCTACAACGACGCTGGGAAGCCGGCTTCCGTCCGCGGCCTGGCCACCAACGTTGCCAACTACAACGCCTTCAGCGTCGCCTCGCCGCCGCCCTACACATCTCCCAACCCCAACTACGACGAGAAGCACTACATTGAGGCCTTTGCCCCTCTTCTCAGCTCTGCTGGTTTCCCTGCTCACTTCATCGTCGATCAGGGTCGCAGCGGCAAGCAGCCTACTGGTATGTTTTCTTGACCCCTCAATCCTTCCTTGTGCATCGCAACATTTAACACAATATGTTAGGCCAAACCGAATGGGGCCACTGGTGCAACGCCAAGGGCACCGGCTTCGGCGTCCGCCCGACCTCCAACACGGGCCACAGCCTCGTGGATGCCTTCGTCTGGGTCAAGCCCGGCGGCGAGTCCGACGGCACCAGCGACACCACCGCTGCCCGCTACGACTTGAACTGCGGTCGGGACGACTCGGTCAAGCCCGCTCCCGAGGCTGGTACCTGGTTCCAGGCCTACTTCGAGCAGCTCCTGGTCAACGCCAACCCTCCTTTCTAAGCTAGCCCGATAAGGGCCACGGGGGTGGCGCTGGGAGAATGACAACATTTCATGACGGCTGAAACTATATGGAAACACATTCTTCATCGACCTCATCTTTTTCTCGTACATAGTTACCATCTGCTGCTTAGACAAGGCGGTCTTTTCAAACTGATCTGTACATACATTGCAAGCTTTGATCAAACCCTGCATCCAAGCCTCCATGCGAGCTGAGTGGTACATGTGGATCATCATACTGCCATGTCACGGGCAAATGGTAAGACGACTTGAAAGAAACCTGGAGGTAACCTTATGTCGTACTTGTCTTCAGGACGTCTCAGCGGCCCATAGTATCCCCCCAAGTATCTGCCCCATGAACCAGTCGTCCTCATACGCCTCGTCAAAGTGGCCAAGAGAGGTGTAGAAGCACCGCCCCCCGTCGAAGCTCTGGCACCACGAAACGGGGTGGTCGTCTTCGTGCACTCCGCCCTTGTACGACTTCTCGTCCACAGCAAGCAGCACATGCAGGCGACCGTCCGATGTCTCCCGCGGGTGTACCTTGAAGTTATACCACTCATCCACCCAAGTCCGCTCCGAGTCCTCGGCCGACACATCATCTCGCCGAGATCCTTGCAGTGAGTCTGGTGAGCACCGGCAGGTCATGATGGGGTGCTTTGGGTCCAGGGTCAGGACGCGGCCGGGCTGCGGTTCGGGATGGTTGTCAAAGACACCCCCGATGAGCCGGCCGTACCATTCCGACGACTGCATGGCGAAGCTGGCGCAGTGGACACCGACGATGCCGCCGCCGGACCGCACAAACCCCTTCAGAGCATCCAGCTGGGCGTCGTCCAAAATATCTCCGGAGCATTGCAGAAGGACAATGACGCGATATGCTGCTAGAGATACTGGGGTAAAGATGGACGCGTCTTCGGTGTCGTCGGCCGTGAAGGGGTGTGGTCCTGAGCTGGAAGCGGAAGCAAGCCGGTGCAGAGCGCGGATGCCGGCGGGAATCGACTCATGCCGGTATGCGGTCGTCCGACTGAATATGAGGATCTTGAAGGGATTTGACATTTTGGGTTGCTGGTGATGAACTATGCAGCAGGCGACAGAGCCGCAATGTGCAAACGAGGGCAACCGACATTGTTGACTTTAAGCTGAGAGCGAAACCTCACATGGGAATAGTTTAGAGTGCGGGGTACCGGGTAATTACTTAGCATAGCGCATGAACTTGGAAGAGCGGTGGAGCTTCGAGGGGCTCGGTCGAAGCTGGAGGGACGATAGTGTACGGACGTAGTGTAGATTCTTCCTCGTCAGGTGTTTCAAAGGCATATTTTTACTTCGTGGACTTGGCTTCGACTGGCTGTTAAAATGCCGAGTGTCCGCCTGAAACTGGATCTCGGCCACTTTGATGAGTGTAGTTCGGAACCTAGCATAAAATAGACCTGAACGGTAACCGGTCTCGCCGGTGTCGGTATGGACCAGAGGAAGAAGAAATCCAGCAAAGACTTGGGGGAAATGGAAAATTCAATGTAAAAGAGAGAGTTTGTCCAGGCACAACATCATATTCCGTTTATCTCCATTTCTGCCGCGCCAGGCGATGCTTGCCTGATGAGGACAGCCAGCCGAGGGAAGGACGGAGGTGTGCGGGAGGTGCATTCAAGTGCGGAGTCGAGCGGATCAGCTGACGAGTCCGCGTCTGGCTTAGCGCTCAAACGCCAAGGGTCTCGACTGCGACAAGCCCCTGAATGGCCCGGGCCTCTCATTCGTCACGGGCCCCCACAACCAGCTGAGATACCCTGCGTGGCAGCAGCAGCCGCCTTGGCAGTTTTCACAACATTCTCTCCCGCGGCACGCCAATGCGGAGGCGGCTCTCTTGGTAACTCTATTCAACTTCACGTCCGAGTCAGCCGTCGGCGTGCCAGCATCGGAGCTGTTGTTAGAGACGACCAGTCAGCCGCCATGGCCTACAACGGAGCTCCGTCCTACGGAGCCCCTCCCGGACCTGGTCAACCCTCTGCGCAATTTCTTCCCTATCGGCCGACCACCCAGCAACAGGATCATCAGGCTCAGCAGCAGCAGCAGCAGCAGCAGCCAGCCCAACATGCAGGGCCAGCACATGGTTTCCAACCATATCAACCTCCTCAGGCTCAAGCTCAGCGTGTTGCATCCCAGCCGCTGCCCCCGCCGCAGGACGCTGGCCAGATGAGCACCGATGGCATAACCCCAGCCCCGCTCCGCCTGCTACGGAAACCAGTGTCAGGCCCGGCCACGCCTCACGCAACTCCTCCGCTGGCACAAGCACAAAACCCGGGCTACTTCTCACCACCGACACCGTCGCCGATCCCGTATGTTGCAGACACTGAAAACCTCCATCATCCAGCTCAACAGCAAACATCGCATCACCATGCCTCTGGCTACGGCCCTGGCATCCAGACTCCGCTAGCACCCCAGCAAGGGCAAATGGCTCAGGGTCAGCCCACGCCGCCTGCGTCCCACCAGATGGGATGGTCTTCAAGCTTCATTGCTGAACTTCCGGGCTCGGTGCCTTACGATGGCAGTAACCAGACTTGGAAGGCACCCGCTGCTCAACCTGCGGGCGCGGCACAGGGGAAGTCTGACCCCCCCAACACTGCCCAGGCTGGCCAAATTGCAGAAATCGGCTCAGGTGCAGACGCAAGAGACGGCTTGCCCAGTCAACGGGTCAAGGTTGAGCCCGCAGAGGGTTCTCCAGCCGATGCATCCTCGACTCCAGCTCCGATTCCAGCACCAAATTCGGCCTTGACTTCAGCTCCCACTCCAGCTCCGACTGCCGCAGACAGCGAAGGCCTGATCCCTGTGGAGAAGCCTGGGCGCCCTGACCACGAAGGCCTTATTCCATTTCACCCCGTTGACGGTCAGCCAGCCGAGCATCACCCTTCAGCATCAAGCACTCCCGCATACCCGGGCGTTGCCCCTACCCCTCCCAGCTCCGTGACCAGCTCCGTGACCAGCTCCGTTCACCAACCTCAGCCAACGGCTGTGCAAGTACAATCGGGTTATGGGACAGACCCACGCCCATCGTCAACTTCTCCATATCCGCAAGCCGCCGGCACACCAGCACATCAATGGCCCGGGCGCCCAATGTCGCCACCAGCGTACCCGTCCCCGAGCAGTCCAAGTTTGCAACGGCCCCCCTCCGTCGCATCCTCGACAATCAGCGCGGCTCCGCCGCAGGCCCCTACTCCAGCCATTCAATCCCCGGGAGGACCTTATCAGCCCCCCGCGACCCCTACTCCTCCGCAAACATCTGCCCATGCACGTTATCAGTCTGCAACCGTGCCGGTAGCTCAGTCTCATTCACCGTCCCCCACGGTTCAGGGGCCACCGGTAGCTGGGACGCCAGTCCCTCCGGCTTCTCCCAACCTCCAACAGACCTCGTTTGCTTCACAATTTCATCATGCTCCAGCGGGCACGACATATATGCCGGCAGCTTTCCCAGCGAAACCACAGACGATCCCAGCTCAGCCCGTTCCATTTGGCCCGCCGCATGCTGGCACATTCCCTGTCTCGCACCCCTCGGCCATCCCATCCATGCCGTCTGTCACCCCTACCCACTACAGCTTCCCTGCATCTGCTCATCCGCAAATGGTCAAACCGGGCAGGCATGCAGGAGCGAGCTCAAGCTTCGATGGATTCGCTAAATCCGTCTTCAGCAAAGACACGGTGAAATGGAGCAAGAAGACGGCCAGCCGGCTTGGCGGCGCCATCAAGACGGCTGCAACGTCGGCGCATGCAGCCGCCACGAGCGCCCAAACTGCTGCTGCTCAGGCCGCAGCCCTGCACCGACAAAAGTCGCAGTTGAAGGCAGCGTCGACCATCGCAGGCCATGTCCCGGGAACCCCTGCATTGCCGGGAACCCCCCCGGCATCGACGGGCGTGCCAAGTCAGACCTGGCCTGGCCCCGGGGCGCCTGGCCCTCACGCAACTCATACTTCTCAGATGGGCATGCCCCAAGGTGCGGGAGGGTCTGTGCACCCCCACCTTCAACCCCCGGGCCAGATGCCTCCGGCTTGGTCGCCAACCCCCCCAGCGAACGGGCAAGGTGCCGCTCAAACCGGACCCGCACCGCAGCAAGGGTACTTCCAGATGCCTCCTCAGCCGCAAGCCCAGCCCCCTTCTAGCTATCCTCAAGGAGCTCCTGGCCAGGTGTCTCCCCCAGCTGCCCATCAGCATCCGCAGTCTTGGCAGGTGAGCGGCTCCGTAGTGGCGAGCGTTGGCAATAACCCAGGCGGTCCTGTCCCAGCATCTGGAGTCGGTACAGGAGCGACGGTGCAATCAATCCCGCCTCCTGCGCCCCAAGCAGCTACGTCTCCTCCCCTAGGACCTCAAGGGCCGGTCAACCAATATCCACAACCTCAAATGGGCGTACCGGTTCCTGGGACACAAGCGGGATCTCCAGGGCAGTTCCCACTCCCCAGCACCCAGCATCAGCATTCTGGGTCGTGGTCCTCTGGGGTTGGTGGTGCGTCAAATACCGGGAACACGTCAGGGGTGCCTGCTCCAAGCGTTGGAAATGAACACAAACCCGGACAGGCAGCTCCTCCCAACTCGCCCCCTGCATCTCCTGCTCCTGAGAAGCCGCTGGAGGGACAGATTCCCAAAGGCAATACGCCCACACAGTCTCCCCCGCCTACAACACCGAACCAAGGACATCTATCTGGCGGGCCTGTCTCTGTGAATGGGTCGGGCGGAGAACAGTCCAGCCAGATTAACCCCTCCCAACCGAACCCTCCTGCTCAAGCAAGCCCGCCTCAGCAGCCGGTTCACCCGCAAGCTAACCGTCCCCCCGGCTATCAGCAAGGCCAACCAGTACCATTCAATCCGCAAAACCCTGCAGGTCAGTCTTGGCCGCCTGGACATGCCGCTTCCCCAACTCCCAGCCTGGCAACACCACTGCCAGGGTCTGCTGTCCAGCTAGCGGGAGGAGGGCAGCTTCCCCTTCAACAACACCCGCATCTTCAGCAGCCCCCGCTTCAGCAGCAGCCTCCCCTCCAGCAGCAGCCGCCCGTTCAACGCCAGCCTCCTCATCAGCAGCAACCTCCTCATCAGCAGCAACCTCCTCATCAGCAGCAACCTCCTCATCAGCAGCAACCTCCTCATCAGCAGCAACCTCC